AGTATGAAAACTAGTAACAAGCATAAAATAGTTACGAGGTTGGTCCCAGGGACCGAGACTGTGCTGAAAAAGAGTTAATTCCTAACAACTTAGTGTAGAATATCCTGCTTGTAAAATAAAATTTGGCATTAACATTATTCATGCCTGTTCTCCCATCATGTCAAAAGTGAATATTGAGCTTTGCCTGGATGAACTCTCGGACAGACACCACAGTTTGCAAAATATATATATAAAATAGTGGCTTTAGAATTTTATTTCATTAGTTTTTTTTACTTTATAGCCTTACACCTAAAATAGTCCAAAATGTTACATAAATTCTACTATTAAATTGTCTTTAGTATTAAAAATATTTATGCCTTTCAGTTTAAGCTCAATTAGAATGTTAGTTTATAATAACATGGCTTAAGAAATAAGATGTATTACATAAATTACAAAATACAGGATTTTAAAATATAGTATTATCTCTCTAACTGTTCAGTTAGTGCAAGTGCTCTCTAGTGGTAACATCTCTTAGAGTTATGATACCATACAATCAACTTACACTATGACAGGCCAAGTCAAAGATAAATTAACAACACTACACAGTAATTTCTAACACTATTTGTGTGTGGATAAATTAGTTATAAAAAAAAAATTCTAAGACATTTATTAGTTTGAATCTTCAAAATATAAGTAATAATTATTGTAAATGTTGTTATAAATTGGGAGTAACAGTTAACTTCATTTATTTGACCAACTAACATAATATGTTATGAAAATTAGCGACAAATATCTCTTGACCAGTGGAAACATTAAATATATGTTGAACTTCAAAAAAAAAGTATAATATTTCAATTAGTTTCATGACATTCATTAATCAATGTACACAACAAAATGGTCCACAACATGTGTCTAAAGAATTGCTAAAATGACAGGTGTACTTATGTGTCACCTACAAGAATTTGAAAATGTGCTATTTTTAACAAAAGTGATATCTGAAAGAATAAAAACAACTTTGATTGGGTTAACTTGGAAGTTAAAAGGAAAAAAAAAGTAGTGAAGTGGTATGATGACAGACCAATTTGTGAAGCACTCCTTTATTTACATATGCAATACAGACTGATCAGCGATATATCACATGAATGATTAGTCCTACATGCAGAGATGTAGTCATCACTGTTAGTCTGCAAGATACCGAGGAAAGGTAAGGATTTTTCCAATTTTGAAAGAAACATGATAGTTGGTATATGTTTAACAGTAATGTCAGTACTAAATATGATTTCCATTCAAATACTTTTGTCATCAATCTATTAAAATAGGTATTTAAAAAGGGATAGAATTGTCATTAGGAAAAACTGTAGTCAGCAAATGCTGGTGAATGTCAAAGGTAAAAGACAACTGAAGATGCTTGTAAAAAGCACAGATATCAAACTATGTTTTAAATGACCGATTCCTTCAACAGTGCCTAAGATCTGACTATTTGAAATTATATCATGCAAAGGGCAATAGAAACAATCATATGATAGCCAACAATTAGTCCAGACATTTCTTAACTTGAGTCCAGAACTTAAAACTATTTCCAGCCATGCCATGTGAAGGACATTATATTTTTTATACGGTAGCTGAAAACTAGCCTGAAAAATGTATATCATAGGTGCAAACAAGAAAGTACAGATTCAAAATTGCTTAGAACACAAATCCTGGTTCTGCTGATACTGCAAGCTGCTGGAGGTGGTGTGATGATGTGGGGGGAATGTTCTAGTGATGGAGCTAGTGTCCTTAAATTTTAATGCTGATCCTATATACTCAAATATGCAGCATTTCTACCTTCGTGGACAAGTTCTTTTCCAAAATGATAATTCAACAATCCAATGTTCTCATATTATCCCAAAACAGTTCAAAAAACACAAAAATGAATTCAATCATCTTCCTTAGCCAACATAACCACCAGACCACAATCTGACTGAGCACCTTAGACGAACTTAAAGATAAATTGTAAACCACTAAAGAACCAAAATTTTCTATGAATAGAATACAAAAAAAGACACCTTTTATAATACTGAAGGCTTTATACCATACCAAGCTGAAGAGGGTTCAACTCAGTATTAGCTTGAAAAATTTTAGCAGATTAAAACTACATGTAGCCTGTGAATTTTCTAACATTTTACGATACAATGCGTGTGTGTACATACAGACACACACACACACACGTGTACAATTTAACTAAGCATAAAATAAATAAAATGTAATAAAACTAATCTTGTAAAGTGCAAACACGAGGCTAATAAAACACACATTTGAGGTACACTTATCCTGTGTGCTGCATGCACCATACTGGATTGACATCAAAAAGTCATGTGGTGAAAAGTTTATTCTGCTCACATTCATCTTGGGTGAAAAATTAACAGCTTTTCTTCTAATATTGTGTTATCTAACACTGTAAATGATCCCAACAACATGCATAAAGAAAGATATATATCTAGAAACTGAATAGCTATAGAATTGTGGATCCATATATTTTGCTAAATGCAATGTTTATGTTATCAACAGCATGTACAGCCTTAAGAAATCTGTATCGATATGAATTGCTGTTGATTACTAGAATCAGATATTTGACACCCAATGAATGAAACAACATTCTGTGACACCACATGTAAGACTTCTACAGGTTGTGAATGCTATATAGTATTAACCAATGACACTGAACCATAGCTGTATCTATTTATGTGTATGATAGGGTTTGGTTGATGTGGTTCTTTGTGCTCACTGGACGCTGTTGTTTGCATCCATTTTTGTACATAGTGATCATGCACACACAAACAATGAATTACCTGAACTATTGCAAGCACTGCAATTTTTTAAAGGTCAGAGCTGCTTTACGAGGTGTTAATACAAGGTTTTATATAAGAAAGCTGTATTCAAATCTGTATTTTAGTGGGTCAATCTTCACACAAAAAATGCAAAATTTCTGCATAAACACAAGGCCCAAATTCAAAAACTGTTCATTTAAACATAATAAAAATCTAAAAATGTATACGAGATGATTTAAAATTTGATTTTTGAGATGCCAAATACTTCTTTCATATGTTACTTAATATTATGTTGGTTTAATCAGGATAAACTGTATATCTTTTACTAAAAATATATTACAATACTTTTGACATGTATTTATTTAGGATGAAAAACTCGTATATAAGTCAATAAAGAAACACCTTTGATGGAGAGTAACAGTGAAAAAATAGTGCTGGAATTTTGCAATGAAAAAAAAAAAAGGATGAAGAATAACACTGACTTATGAAAGACAACAGAACTTATAAACTGACTGATCAAATTAAAAAGTATAGTGAAATTTAAGGGGATAAAAAACTAAGCTGTATTACTAAGTAAAATGAATGCATATTTTACCCACTAACCTCAATCAGTTCACCTTGCTTTAAACCTTCTTGGACTTCAGATTTGGATAAATATTCTTCAAACTGAAATAAACCTTTTAATTACTACATGCATGATATTTATAGATAAAATAATATAAAAGTCACATATAATGGCTAAGATGCTGAATTAGAACATTAACTGTAACTGATAATTGTTAAATGTTTATAACAGCCATAACCAGGTCACTAGTTAGAATTTAATGAATGGACAAGAATAACCAACGTTGAATGGGTTACTACCTGACAAAATCCTCGCAAGTTTTTAAAATAAGAACCAAAAGTACTTTGATTTATTTCAATACTTTAAACAGTAAGTTTCATTTGAAAAGTAAATCTGTTACATTACATTGAATATTAGAAAAAAACTGATTCCTTGAAACTGGTAGTTTTATACTATAAAAACTAGAACACCAAATATTAACATGAATTGACAGAAGGCTATGGCAACTAAGACAAAATGTGTACAATAATGCTGGGAAATTACCGATATCTGCTAATCAAGTATATTTTATCAGTATAATGAGCCTTAAAACATGGTAATATTGATAGCAAATACTGCCAGCCATTTGCTTTCCCTCTAGTTAGCAGTTCAAAAAAAGAAAAAAAACAAACACTAAATCTGAACAACCTTGAAGTAAAAGAATACAACCTACAAGTCTAAAATTGTGCAGAGCACAGAAAATCCATCATATATCTATGCACTTAATAAGAAACAAATATAACAGCAAATTTCCATTACTCAGATAATTAAAATAATCAAAAATAGTATTAATCATAAACCTTAATTTCGATTAGTCAATTGTTGGAGTAATTGAAAATAGTAATATTTAGAAAAACACTAATTTCATTAGTTGATTAGTTTACATGATACTAATTGATCTAATTAAAAACACCTTAGATGTGAAAGAAAGGTGTGAACAAAGAAAATGATTCAAGATGAGACTTAAAAGAATGAAATGCAAATTGACAACCAAACTGGTAGCTACACTTATAGTATTTATAAGAACTTTAAGCAAATATTCATTCATTAGTTAGCCGGGCCGCATTTTTTTTGTTCAACTTTGGGCATGATGGTGGGTAAAATAAAATATGTGGTATATCTAACTAATGAATGATTATTTGCTCTAAAATTTTTATCAATGATATAAGTGTATCTACCAGTTTGGTCACTAATTTTGATTTCATTCCTTTAAGTCGAACGCTCAGTCTTTTTCGGACGCACCTTTTTTTCCCACCTAAGGTGTTTCTGATTAGATATCATGACAACCATGTGTCTTGATGAAATTGATTATACCATCCAGCTCTAGTTGTCAGTTTTATAGGGGGCCAAATTCTTTACAGTAGGTGTCTATCACTTGTTGGTGATAAATTTCAACAATAAACAGACAGCACACATCCACTTGTTTTAAAATAATATATTCAAAACAAGTCAACTGTATGTACAAAAATTTGTTACACTATTGGTTATTACAGTTGCATCCAGAGCATTAAATAAGTCTCTTTTTTTTTTGTCAAAGTCCACAAAAGAGGGTTCAATTACTTTAGATCACCCTTTGACATGACAAATTATTCTTCTCCATCTCTGTTATTACAATACAAGCTGTGAAACTCATTTTAGGAATTGCCCATTGTGGCTAAACTCATACGCAGGCTAACTTCACTTTCACTTGCTTACTTACTTGGTCGTCTATATATATATTGCCTGACTGAGGCCTAGAACTTTCTACACACTACGAGACACTATGATGTAGCAATACTCAATGCAAAAAGAGAAAATTAGAAGGTCTGAGTAATGTGACATCAATTTACAACAACTGAACTGCACAACAAATTATTTATAAACAGTTATGTAAGCAGAATTGCCATAACTATTGGTTCTAAAAATAACTTACTTTAACATTTGCACTTTATTATCATCTAAATCATAACTCTTGTATTAAATTTAAATGAAACAGTCATGTATATCTAACACTAGTGTACATATGAATCTCGTGTACAACTAATAGTGACAAAAACATTATTAACCATTTCTAATCAAATATCCCTTTCTGCGCATGTCATGATGTTTTACAGTTCCATCCAAAATTTAATTAAACAACCTTGCTATAAATGTTTGTCAATGTAATTAGCATTATAATGTAGTTTACAATTCAAAATTTTATATTATCTAAGTTTTAATTCTATTATTTCAAAATAAGCCATTAAAAAATACTTAAACTTCAGTTTTGTTGACACGTGACATACGAGCCTTCACAATTCTTAACTTTTTAGTTTCTATAAGTTGAATAACACTAGACACCTAGACTGTAAATGTATGTCTAGACACAATCTAAGTTTATGTCATTTACAGTTGCTTGTTTTAAAGTCCTTTGGTTCAATCTAATGAGTACAAAAAATAAATCTTTCTACCCCATGAGAGAAGCCATACCCACCTTCAATAACTTAAGATTTGAAAATTCCAAACCACATGTACTTACTTCTCATACATGTTTATAACCAACAGAAAGAGCTTTTTTTTAAATATACGCTTTCTATGATCATTTTGGAAATGGCAAACAGTATCTATTATCAAGATAGACTAACTTCCGATAGTGGTGAAGCTGTTTTGTCCTCTATAGCATTTACAGTTTTTTCTTATCTAGATAGATGTTAGTTAGATACAGTTAAATTGTACCTAGGTTTTACTTTTATGTTTTAGCAAACTGTGTGTTATTTAAGTTTTAAATTGCATATATGAAAGAGTTAATAATTTTTCAATATAACCCAAACTTCACCTCAGTTCAGAAGGTTTAAATTATTACATGAGTGCAAAAACATTTAGCTGAAGGCTTAAGTATCTCTCCTGATAATACCATAATGTGCTGGGGTCTTCCTACTGTGGTAAGTTGAGATGAATAATAAATGGTAAAGTACGGGCAAGAAAAATATAACATTAAAAATAAACAATAAGTGAGAAGGTTAAGAGGTGAAATTATAAAAATAATGAAAAAAAAGGATATTTTAAGATTATTTGACAAATAATTAAAAGGTATATATATGTATTTTTATTTCTTGATTTTAAGAATTTCATTGCATTGTATGTTGATGATAATAGCTACAATTAGTGATATGATAAAGAAAATAAAAATATAAACATTTACCTCAAAAGAACTTTTGATATTTATTTACGAAATTCTAGAGGTTATGCAAATTAAATTTGAAAATTGTATGATAAAAAAAAATTATTTCTAATGTTAAGATGAAAATTGCTTTGCAATTGCACAAGTCAGAGTATGAGCAAAACTGATTAAAATAAATTCAGAAACAAATCTTTAGTAAATTATTTATTTAAGAAAATCTTACTCTTTGTCTACAAAGTACTTGTAATCTTTAATAAAATCTAATTTTTGTAAAATTTGTTAAGAAAGCTCAGGGCTTTAATATGTAATTTCATATATATATTGTTGTCACTTGATTGTGCATTTTACATGGGCCCATCTAAAGTATTTGAAGTTTCTGTACCTTATCCTTTGAACTCCCTCCTCGAGACTGCTTTTTTGTTGGTTGTCCTTTTGTCTTGTGATTTTCTTCTAGATATAAACACATGATAAAGCTTAACAGATTAATTCCTTTCTATACTCTCTGATCACTGAAAAACATTGTTCAGTGGAAAAACAATCAAACAGTATTTCAAAAATTAAGCATAAAATAATAATTTCATTAGAAAACATATTGTAATCATATTTAAAGACAAAGCAACACTTTGGTAATAAACATCTTATCAAACCATTAAAAGAACAATACACATGACAGACTAAATTACAAAGTAGTTAAACAGTATGTATGTTTATAGAGAAATTCAATTTCATATATATATATAATTACAACTCTTTAGTTAAAACATTAGTTATTTATCATCACAACTACTAATACTATATAACACCATCTCAAGGTCAGGTACAGCAAGTCTACAAAAAGGAAGCAAGATATACTTCAGTTTTATTAATCTACAACATGTTAACAATTCATTAACATCATATGTATGATATTGTTTTTAAAGATAGTATCTACAATTCAGCTTTGTTTACAACACAACTTTCTTACATTCTAAAGTTCTCTTAATTGCTTTACATGACAGTGAGTCTACAATGATACTGTAATTATATTAGTATTTTTAAGAATACATGAACATTTAGAGGGATAAATACTATTATAACAAGTAATATGAGAAGTAGTGTTTATTTATAACAGGTTTTATGATATGAGAGATAGTGTTTATTGTTAACAGGTTATATGATATGAGAGGTAGTGTTTATTGTTAACAGATACTATGATATGAGAAGTAGTGTTTATTGTTAACAGATACTATGATATGAGAGGTAATGTTTAATGATAACAAAAACTACCTCTCATATCATGTGACTGTTATCAATAAACATTTAACATTCATATTAAGTATTATCAATAAATATTAACTTGTCATTTGACCAATTATCAATACAAACAAACTACCTCTAATATCATATTATCCATTATCAATACAAACAACAACACACATCACAGGTCTTTTTATCAATAACCACTACCTCTGATATTATACAAACTGTTTTGTACAAATGCTACCTTTCATACCATATGAACTATACAAAACACTAAATTTTATGCTAAACCTGTAGAAAAAGTTATCTAAAATATATATTTAGTAATGTTTCGTTAGTTGATTTTTTATAAATTTTCATGCAGGTGTTCTGGATGTAGTTATGACATTTCCAAAATCCTTGTGAACTAAATGTTCAAAGGTAATAAACATGAACTAAACCTTTTGGTTATCCCATAGAAGCTTCTACCAGTTTGACCCTATGTCTATGTTCATTCCTTGGGGTGGAACAAGTCCATCTCAAGAGATACATAGATACTTGTACAAGTTCATACGAGTTGGAGGTTATATACCATGAATATGTTTTTTGATATAAATTGCTGATATAGCTAAGCTGAGGATTGTGGGATATGAACATTAGGACCCCTTTGTCTGACTTGAAAGGGCAGTATAACATTATTCTTCCTGTTCTTATTCTGCACAGACATATTTAAAAAACCACTTTACACCAGCAGCCAAATGAAGTTGTAACAAAACTGAAGCCAGCCAAAATACATTATATTTCTTTGATTAAAGATTTAAGTTTATTGTTCACTTAGGTGTCATTGTTTGCGTTTCCTTTCCTGGTGGTGTTAAATTTATTCTCTACTTAACACTTCCTGACATTGCATTTTTGAACAAACTTTTGGCTAAAAATTAGTTAAAATGTACCATTTCGGTGCCACGACCAAAGGATTTGTTATTGAAGAGTTTACTTTGAATATGCTCCTCTTTTCTGTTTGACTCTACAGACACATAGAATTTAGGATGCTGGTGCTCGGTATAGAGAGGAAAATACAAACACTCTGAAGCAAAATGTATTTTTTCAGCTTCATTAACACCAGCACCTTTGTCAAATTCTGTCAAGAAATTCATCCACTCAAGAAAAAGCAGGCAACCTGACTCAGACAAAACTGATCAAACCAAATGATATTAAATAGAAGATCACCAACATACTTAATGATGTTGTTAACTTTGAGGTAAGGTACATAAAGCTTCAATGTGATGAACTAAACAAAACAGAGGATACAAATTATGGTGTAACAACCTAATATTCCACAGCAAATGCAAAATCTCCCAAGATAAGAATATAGGGTCTGGGTTGGGTTTCATTTTCAATTTACCACCACTAATACTACTACAACTACATAAAAAAAACACCTACCTACCTTATTATCTGACCCTTACCAGAAATATACCTGTTTTGCTCTTAAAAAATAAAACATCACATATACATTTTTTCTCTACATTACTTTATATAGTGTAGAATAATGTTATAAAAACATACTCCAAGGTTGACTATGTATAAGTAGACTATAACTGCAATAGTCTTCATTAGGCCTACAGAAAAATTTGTTTGCAGTGCCTTGACCAACTCTGATAAAGAAAAAGGAGCACCAATCCTAAAAGTTTTATGCCTTTTCTTCTAAAATTGTCCAGAGAATGTCACAATATGTTCATCAATTGTGATTGATAATGTTTTCATCTCTTTACTTCATGTGAGCAAGTTTCATAATAAACCTGTTCACAGAACATAACTTTGATTGCAACCAACTTGAAATTATGTCAGACAAAATGTCAACACTGTAATGATCATAATAAATTTAGATTACAATTTATTAAAAGACAGTTGTGTTTTTATCCTATTACTGTCATACTAATTTTAACTAATAAGCTTTAGTGGATAATTTATTCTATGTCACTTCTCAGTAGTTTTGTATAAATTTCATGTTTTTGTTTTCCCAAAATTTGAAATTATACAAGTACCCTTTTTTGAGTAACAGGTTCTCAAAGTATCAATCTCTAATGTCATCTAATTGTTTAACATAAACTGAAAAATACAATGATCTATGTACTACTACTAAGTGTAGTAGTAGTTAGCTTATTATGTGACACTCACTGAACATCATTCCTAAGTAATGAGATTCCACATTTAAAAAAATAGCTTAATGTGTAGGCATAAGTAGACCCTTGTACCCACGCTTTCTCATGTTATGGCCAGGAAATATTCTCTTGTATATTTCAAAATTCTTGAAACCAGCCAAATACTTTTTATGTAAATATGCATAATTATCCATCTCCTCTGTAAAATAATTCAACTGTGGTTTTGTAAAACAAACTTAAAATGCATCTGGTGTTATGTAGATGATGGAATACTTGGAAATAACATATTTTCAGAAAGTTTGGAACACTAGATTATTTCATTTTGCAGATATTAACTTACAAAAATTTGGTGCCTACAGAAAGTTTTTTGTGGTTAATATTAATGTATCAAAAGTATACAGTTGTATACACAGTTCAACAAAATAATTTTCTTTCAGTTCATAAGTCCAACAATGCCTACGTATTACTGTAAAACAGAAAAATTAACACTTTACAATCTTTATATAATTAAATTAGTTAAGTTAAATTGAAAATTATTTTATTAATTTGAATTTTGGTAGTTTGTATTGAAATATGTACAATTAAATTATATAATGTAGGTTTTTTAATGAATGATAATTCTATAAAGAACTATTAAATGTTATTAAGACGAAGATTTAGTGTTGTGCATATAAATAAACTATAACTACTTGTTTCATGGTGTATTTCAATTGGAAGTTATTCTGGTAACTATTAGAAACAAGGACTTCAACCTATAATGCATGGGCCTTATACAAAGTAAATATGCTTTAAGAATAAAAACAATGCATATTTGCTAAAAGAACAGATATGAAACTTAAAAAAACTGAAAGAAAATTTAATCTTGATTTAATAGAATGCTTGAAAAACATTCTCAAATTTGATAATGGTATACTTATTTGTAGTAATTTTGTGTTGAAAATAAAGAGATAAGTTGATTTAATAAGACTGGTATATATTATTAGTAGGACTAAACATATTAGGGTTTGGTGATGTAAGCATTACTAAGTTACTTTAGATAAGGCTTAGCAACTTCAGCAGTAATTCACCTATCTGTAAGTTGTAAAACAGGTTAAAATAGTAAGTACACTGTATTATTACATAAATATGATCTGAAGACTAGTTATTTGTCATTTCTAAATTTTATAGATAAAATTAATTACTTTGCATGAAGATAAACTAATGATAAGAGTTAATACATTTAATACTCAAATGTTAAGGTTATCAGTGTAGTCAATAGGCTACTTGTATTAGTGCAGATTATTGATTCACAATCCCAAACACCAATAGTTAAAAGTAGTGTAGGTGTGAAGCATTCAGAGTTTGTAGGGTGCAAGGAGTGTGTTTTGTTTGGGAACTCACGACTGGCTTGCACTTTTAAGGATGTTAGTAGCAAATATTTGTAATTTATTTGTAGTTTGCAGGATAAAGGAGAAATTGGAAACTATCTTAAACCTCGTAGCGAAAGTCTATAAGAGATGTTTTGATCAATATGGTTTTCCTTGTACGTACATCCTAGGCTCTTAGTTACACTACAATGATGCCTTTCCTGACATAACCATGATATTATGATAAATTGCATACCAATAATCAGGAATATATAACTTCCAACTGCAGTAATATTAATGTCATGTAGGGATGATTATGTATAGTTGTATCATCTTTATATTCATGCATGCATTCTGTTTTGCACAGCCATCCCTACATCATTTTACATTTACAAAAATGTACTATATGAATGTGTGTGTAATAAAAGTTAATATTATGTGTACTGAATTTTTTTTACTCCTTCACTTCATATGTAATATACGGGTTGGTTCCCTAAAGACACCAATTGTGTAGCACCACAATTCTGTAAGAAAGCTAACTTCAAGGTGTAATGATAACCTTGTTTAACTCTTTCAGCATGGTCTCGGTCCCTTGCACCAACCTCGTAACCATTTTGTGCTTGTTATAGTTTTATGCTATAATTTTTAAATTATTAAGCGAATGTTAACAAAATTGGGCATATTATCAGTAACCGTTAAAATGCTTTCATATGCAAAATATAATTTTTTTAATTAAATTTTAAGGTTTGTAAAGCAATGTTTTTCTCATGTCTTTTTTATCTTTATGTTACCTATATATTATGCAAAGTAATATTCATTTTAAGATTAGAAATATTTTTATACATCAGAAAATTTTGAAATTTCACATGTGAAATTTTTTTATAATGTCCAGATAGTCAAACTTTTCTTAAGAAAAACTATATTTTATCTGTTATTTTCAGTAATTAATCTCTATAAGGGTTTGGTAGATTTGAACGATCTCCATAAAAAATTAGGAAATAAATATACACTATGCCTCTTTCATTCTAAAATAAACACCAATTATAACACGAAAACATAAATGTTTAAGACTATATAGCTGAAATCTCATAACATTATACATTTATATATATTTATTATTTTTTATTTAACCTTTCAGCTATGCCTGGCTAACAATACAGAAGTTACAATGACATGGCTCACGTTCACTCATGTTACCATATCAAATAACATAAAACTGAACTTTGGTCTGTAGAAAGTAAATTGTCTTGGATTTGTCTTAGTAGACTAGTATTTTGTAAAATACAGTCACGTTTCAATTATTATACATTATATATGTATATTGATTATTGCTATTTTGAAATAAATTCTTAAACTTATTTTTCTTAAAACATAGAACAGTAGCTAAAGAAGTAAAACAAACAATTATCTCTTCTAGTTACAACCTTTGCTATGATGGTTGCTGCTTTACGTAGGTTGCTAAGTCTTTAAAGATTTGCACATGGAGAATATGAAACAAAATATTTTTTTTTAGGTTTTATATATACATGTGAGTAACTAAAAAATCATAAATTACTACATTAATACCATAGAATCCCACTATAATTTATCACGCTTAGAAATTAATATGTATTTGGGTCTAAAAAATACGAAATTTCGAGCAGACTAAAGACACCCTACCTCGTTGAAATATTGATTCAAAAGAAAGAAATGGCACCAAGCCCCTTAAAATGGCTGAGAAATTCATTAGGGGACATTCTGAGCCTCTGATTGGTTATTCATGTCATATATGGAAGTAAGTGTATATAAGGGAGTGTTTCCAAAAATAGAAAGAGGTGGGTGCAACTGTGTTTGATTTATTACATGAGCAATATCTTAGCAAAGTGAAAAGATAAGAGGCTCTTATTTTATATTCTAGCTTGTCAATATCGGTAATTTGAGTTTCTAATTCGTACAAAACTACAGACTTAGTATTTTGACATCACAAACATCTAATTTGAACCAGTGCTGCATTCAACATACCAAGTGACACACAAAAATCGATGTTTAACTGTTTTTTAATATTAGCTTTTAAATTAAAAAATTGAGTAATATATAGTATTATATTATAATCTACATATTGATACCAAAGTTATTGACATAAATTCATGAAACAGTAGTTCAATAAAATTATGAATGCGAGTCAACAAATGAAATGACATGGCCTTTCACCCGTGACCCATTTCGAAAGGGTTAAACTAGAATTATGATTTTTTTTTTAATTACTACTTCTTATTACATCTAAGCGATGACATTGTGCACTGCCCAGAAACACAGTGTGGATTTAGGTTTAAACTGAAGTTAGTGATAAAGTAGTTGTACAGTTATCTTAACTGAAACAAAAAGAAAGATGAACAATTTGGTCGGTTGGTCACTTTCTGGTTTGGTATCTTACCAATGGTTTCTTTCCTCGTTTTTGAGTGGCAATCATCTTCTAAAGTAAAATTCTCTGTCACAGTTGATTTTTTGGCATACATATTTCTATTATGCCTATTGAGTACCTAGCCATCCCTACATGCAGAGTCTACCAAATATGATGGTGTAGAAGCTGACCTGGTTAAATGGCTATTAACACAGTTGTAGGGCCAACTTTAAACTAGAACTAGACAATGGTGAGTGCCAGGATGAAATAAATGCAGAAAAAATAAATTGTAGAGAATAGGGTAGTGCAGCAACAGAAGTAGTTTTAAGAATAAGCTAATTGTTACTACTGTAATGCTAAGGTATACGAAATAAAATAATTACTTTGAAGCACTAGTTGGAAAGGATTTTAATATAATGGTAATAAACAAAAATCAGTTAAATGTGAACAATTTTGATTGCAGAAATTTCTTTGAAATATAGAGTTGTAGGTTATTTAATGGGGATAGAATACTAAAAAGAGGTACAAGAGTGACTATATATGTAAAATGAGAGTTGAGGATATCAAAAAGTTTCTGGTAGTGGATATAGGGGGAGAAGGTTTTTTAGTTGAAATATTCTTACATACCACCAGATGAAATTAATGAGAAATTCTAATATGAGATTAAGATTTCAGCTGTTAATGAAGTCATAATTATGGGAAATTTGAAATTCAGACATAAATTTGGAAATGTTACAGTCAAACCATGATAGAGACAAGTTATTAGTAACCGTTCTATGATGTTTTTCCTCACCAGTTGGTCAAGGAACTTAATCGGAACAATGTTATGTAGATTTATTGTTAAATTCTAATATAAAATTGTTGAGAGATTGAATACTGGAGGACATCTTTGTGCAAGTGGTCATTGTCCTATTAGGTTTGATGTTTTACTGCATATGGAAATCAGGAATGATGGGATTATGGTTATAAATTTCAAAAAGCAAAGTTTTGAATGGGTGCAACAAGAATTATCTCTCATGAACTGGGCAACTGAATTAAATGTAGATACTGGTCAATTGTAGTTGAAACTATTTTAAAATAAATTTTTATATAACAAAAATAGATATATTCCTTATAGAAAAAGAAAAGATAGCTACAAGCACAATACAAGGATGGCTCATAAAAGGTATAAGGGATGAAATTATAGAAAAGCTTTACAAATTTAAGAAGCTCAAATTGACTGCTATGATGCAAGACTTAAGAGGAAATTTGCACTACTTCAACTCTTGTGACTATATCCATATTAGCAGTTAATAATGAATCTAAAAGGGCATCCCCTCCGATTAGTACCCTGAATATATTATATAAAAAACCAATCTAAACCAATTCAAGAAACATTTTTCCCTCACTATAAGGCTTCAAAAACTTTCAATCAATGTGTCTAAAACTAAAGTCCCCAGTGATTATTGCATCAGTGCTTTTTCATTAACAAAACTGATTTCATTATGCTATTTCTCATTGACATCATCTGTCTGATTAGATGGCCTATAACAACAGCCAATTAAATACTTTCTACTCCAAACACCCCACTAGTTTAATTAACTGTAATTTTTCAAAATATTAATCTTCACACAAGAAATATTGAAATTTTCTTTTCTTTTGACATATACTGCTCAATACTTTTTATTTAATCATACAAGTTCCTTTTATGGGCAAACATACAAGCTCCTTTCACACTAGAATTGTTTGTCTCAAAGATGGCTTTTGAAAAACAAATTTATTACCTTTCAGAGGGCAACACACCTCTAAGTAAACAATTTAGTTCCACAAGGTTTATATACACTATTCTTCCCTAAGATTTCAAACCACACAAAACAATTAGAATATAATAACAGAAGTATTATTTGTTACAGTATTTCAGAATATTTGCAGCTATAACCCTAGTGATAGTTACAATTAATTTGAATGAAATATGATGAGTCCTTTCATAAAACGTTTTTCTCATCTAACACCGTTTGTTTTATTTAAGATACAAGTTCATTGGAAAGGAATGTCACTCTAAATTATAGTTACATGCATATGATCTCTCTCCCCTCCCAAAGACATTTGTAAGTTAATCATATGGAATGCAGAAAAGTTGTTCATGAAATAATCCTATCAGTCATATGATCTGTTGCATCAATATTAGTTTACATAATCTAAGAAGTAACAGAAGAAGTCTCCTAAAAAATTATCTAATGAACAAAACTTTATACCTATGTATTAAAAATAACTTGTTCTTACTTGCATTGTTTCTTGGAGCATTCAGGTTTGCCATTTTTTCAGTTAACTACGAGAAATATTTCCTTGACCTTTTGACCTTGGGTTAAAGCATATGGTATGGTAAATCTGAAAGTAAAAATAATTACTGAAATACAAACCATGAGTATAACTTAAGTACACTGTACACCATACTTGAAGGTTATAATTTTATGATAGTTAAATGCATCTTATAAATGGAAGCTTCACCAAGAAACATGTCCTGCATCTCAATATATATCAATTTACATCAGCTAGACAAACAGAAATCAAGTGGATAGCAAATAGTTACTTTTTCTTTTCTATAATGATCATTCATTTTATGTAAGCAAAATTGAACTGTTAAATTTCATTAATAATTGCTCATCAGTCTCCCAAAAAACAAATTATAAAGCTTAAACAACTATAAAAAATAAATATTACTTATAGCATGAGGTTTTTTGCAAGGTGGAAAATAACCCTAAGGAAACTCATCACAAAAGCATAGCATAAATATAAAGAACATGAGACTGAATAGAAAAATGACAAGTCAACTAAACATTACAGAAAACTATACAAAATAGCAATCACACAAGTCTTTTTAGTTACTCAATTTTTGCCTTTTTTTTGCTTAAGTTCTTATTTTATGACCATTGTTTGATGTTATAGCAATAATTTATTGACAAGCATAATCAGGATTACATTTTTTCTACATGTAATGTAGTCTGGTACTGCAATTACATTTTGTATTAACTTATTTTCTGATGAACAGGTACTTCACTAGTATCAAATGTACAGTTTAACCAGATTTCATTGAAAACAACCTTTTGCTTTCTGCCATACAACCAAACTACAATACAATTAATTAATCTTTCCCCAACTTATGCGATATTCTTAGCTTAACTTTTAATTGGCAACTGTTACTAACAAGACTGCTGCTGTAATACTTAGGGGAGATATTTAATTTTAGACCCATTGATTGTAACGGTATAGAGTAAAATAAGATGGGAAAGAGATTTCCTGAAGAGATTCAGGATAATTTTCCTATACCAAATGGTCAGACAGCCAAAAGAGAGGGGGATATATGCAGAAGTAGGGGGTGGAAGGCTAGTGGAATTGTGCAAATAAATGTTAGTACTAATTGAGAAAAGCTATTTTGTGAGAGAAGGTAAGATATCATATCAGAAAATCAGAACAGAACATTTAAAAGCCATCAGCATCCTTTAAGGGCCCAATGCCATTTTAACACTTTACTTATCTTCAACATACTTAAAAGAACCCTTACTATCACTTATAAAACATCAAACATCTGATTCTTATATCCTTTGGAATTTCATATTCTTTTTTAACCAAAAACATAGTTTTACTATGATTCTATAAATCTTTCAATCTATTTATCAATTTAAACTCCTCGAATCTTGTGTTCCATGATGGCTGACAGTGGCTGAGTGTCCGGGGGGGGGGGGCTGGTATTTGCCAGTGTTCTTGAAGTTTAACCTTAAATCTTTAATGGCCATTTTATCTCCCCAATGTATTATTTAATGCTCACAGATAGGTAATTCTTTTAACTTTTGTTAAAATTAGTTTAAGTGTCCTGACATTTTTTGATTAAAGTCCAAATTTTGTATTTGCCACAAATCTGGTAAGTGTTTGATGAAAACATTGGTAGAATAGTTGTGGGTAGCTTTACCAGTCCTGTTGCACACCCAGGTTCCAGCAATCATGGAACACATAGTATTCACACCTAATTTGTGGCATTTTTTAAGTCCACTCATGAGAATAATCATTATCTTTAATTAGATATCTCATGAGAATAATTAGTTTAATGTAATTCATTAATGAGCCTGACAGTTACTCAATTCACAAATTCCACTAATCTTACAGCTCTAAGCAGTTAATCTTTCATTGAGTTAGACTGACAAAGTCTGAGAGTCTGATGCACTTCTTACATACACATTGTTTACCAGCTCAATGTCTACTTCATATACACTGTAATGATCAAAAAGAAGAATTGTATCTAATAGATTTGATCCTTTCACTTGAAGACAATCTGAACTGTAAGTGGTAAAATTAAACCATGTTATATTATACTAACTTTTGCAGTCTCCATACAACCTCTTTCAATAAGTCCAACCTCAATCTAGGAGGTTATGGCACTGAAATCAGGGTCAAGTAAGTATAACTCTTAATGAACAAATGTTGTGGTATATCAGATTTGTCAAATGAGCACAAATTAACAACCTTTCTTTACTCTGTTTACAGGGTCACCACCTATCTACACATAAAACACCTGTATGTAAAATTACAAAAAACAAACTCATCCGAACATACCTAACTAGATCTATATTCTGCCATCACAGCTGATGGCAAAGTAGACACTATACTACATTAGTGACTACTAAGTAGGACTAGAGTTAGTAAAACCTATTTTGAGTTATCTAATCATTTTCTAACTTGTTCAGTGTTTCACATATGTAGATCACTTTTCTTTGGCAACACACATGTAGAATAATTTCTTGCTCAAGAAAAGTTCTTCATATTTTCCTCAGACCCATAACAGATATTCTCTAATTTTTTCATTTGTTTGCTCACTTTATCTAAACACTGCTATAAGAGGCCTGTGCCCCAACTCTACTTGATAGTACCTCAAGTTGGTGTCTTGAAAATCAGAATAGAAAACCATGATCAATATCATACCCAAACACAGAAAATTCCCTTATGGGCCTGAGCCTTGAATCTTTTGAGCACCTAGCAATGCCTCTGTCTAGGCATAGCAAAAAAGGAGAAACTATTTACAAAATTCCCTAGTGGCACTTTTATTGACAAACTGTGTATAATAATAGTATCTGGTTATTAGTTTATCATCACATCATGTACACAACATCTACTGTAAGCAATGAACATAGCTGAAGCATTTAAATAGATAACAACAAAACAAAAATATCTCTTAAATGAAAAATAAGTACACAAACAAATATTTACTTGCCAGTCTACAACAATGTGCTGATTAAAAAAGTGGGCACTGTAATTCCATTGACATACTGTTGTAGTCCTACATTTCTAAGTTTGGGAGGAATTTTAGTATCAGTAATTGAAATAAGGAATAGTTCAAAAGAAAGACATTTAGTAATTTTGTGGAAATAGTTGAATACTGGTACTAGCCTATGACCAAGCACAAAACTGTCTACAACTCAAACTTCCCTTTCATGTAAACAACTATGATTTAAATATTTATTTAAAATATTTCAGAGAATGATCATGGGCTTTGGTCATTAATGTATGATTGTAATATAAGAACAATGAGGAAATAACTATACACAAAACATCAGATAACACTTAGGGGACAACAAGAGTCTTGTCACTCCATCTGGGTTGTCCCATCCACTAAACAAAAAAATGAAAAATCCAGCCATGATAATTTATGTTGTTGTGAAGCCTTCCCTTAAATTACTAGATTCACCACAACTGGAGACCAACCACACTGTTATAAGAGTAAAACTATTTAAGCCTCCTACCATACCAAAATTTATACTTGTGTCCAATGGTCCAACCAATCTCACCATTAATATGAAAAAAGATGATGCATCAACATTATCAATTCCCTTAATAATCTTGAACACCTCAATCACAACTCCTCTAACTCTTCTTTTTTCAAGAGAAAACAATTTTAGAGATCTTAGTCTGTCCTTGTATGACAACCTATCCATCCCAAATATCATCCTAGTAGCCTCCTCCAAACTCTTTCCAACAACTGTTTCTTTCTTAAGATAAGGAACCCAAGAATGACATTACATTCCAAATAAGAACTAACAACCCACAGATCTGTGGCAAAAAGTTGACAAAAGGGAAGGAAGTCAGTCAAGCAAGCCCACACTCTCCAGAACCCACCAGGTAGTTATAGGTACTGTTGGCAACATGTCCATTTGTGTCGAATAAGGTGAGGAACCCCTAGAGGTAGGAACAGGTAAGGGTTGAGAAGGAGCTGGATGAGGAACAGTAATAGGGGCAGGTCTAGGCTCCATATGATCTACCAAACAAGAAAGGGTAGCATGTTGTCACATTGACTCCACACAGGATTCTAAAGTCTTAGGAATATTACCAAAAACATACTGCTGTAGAAAAGGGGCCATATGCAAGTCCTGGAGATAAGTTGGCATTGAACGAACATGGGAAAACTCAGCGTCCCTCTCCAGTCACTAAGTCCAAAGACGAGTCACCCCCACCTGTAGCCTGTGTGATTGTACCAGGAGAAGGTATTACCTTCAATTGTTTGATGAGAAAAAAAAAGAAATTTTGAAAAACAAAGATAAAAAATCCACTTTAGAATAATATGAGAAAAAAAAATCACAAAGTTGAAAAAATAAAACATAACTGAAGAGAACTACAAAAACATCTTCACATGAGTAATGCCAAACAAGAAGTGATAGTTTGGTAGAATCGAATAGAGGGAGTCACATGTGTCAGGAGAGTATGTCATACTCTTATTGGTATTTTGGAGGTCAAGGCTTGTGGCACGCAAAAAAAAGAAAGTGCATATAGAGGGCAGCATTGAACAAGAATAGTTATTTATGTGAGAAGAGGTAATGTATCCTATCTGAATTAGTTTCCAATTATTAATGTCTTTGATTATTCTGATAGTCAATTAATCACATTTACATTTAAATTGACTGTCATGACAATAATAGAAATTAGTTGTTCCAATTATTTACCGTTGCAAATAATTTCAACTATCCAAGTAATCAAAAAACTGCTATTATGTTTGTTTATTGTTAACCACAAAGCTACATAAGTGGGGGGGGGGGGGGGGGGGGTGCCTGATGATTTGAGGGTCTTGGTTCCAATTCCCAATGCCACTAAACTTGGTAGTCCTGTCTGTGTTATTGTAAAGCTACTAAGGCTATTAGCCTCTGTCACTAATTTTGAACTGCTAACTAGATGGAAGACAACTAGCTGGTAAAACACACTCCCAATTCTATGGTTACTTAAATTTTAAGTAAAATGTAAATTTACTGTTTTTGTTACATCATGCTATGTTTCTAACTCATAATTGCATAATTGTATTCTTTAATATTGTATAAACAGGTGCAGCACTAAGGGAGGGGGTTTAGATCCACTCTCTTTTCAGGATTTAATAACTGTATTTTTTAATGTTGCATTAGCAGGTGTGAGTCTAAGGGAGCTGGGGGCAAACCTCCACCCCACCCCCTTTTTTTAATAACTGTATTTAAACTTATATAAGTAGACACCAATCTGTAATGGGGTGTAAGGACCTCATCCATTTCTTTCAGAAATTAATAAAAATTCAAACATCCTTATATGACAAAATAGTATCAAAAAAATATTAGATGTCAGTGTTTTTATCTGGTTGGTCTACTAATTACCATAAAAGCTTATTTCAGGTTTCCTGAAGTCAAGACAGCTGGAGTCTACAGCAATCTAATTATGGCCTCAGTTAATAACTGATTATTTATATACAAATACAACAATATGAATGTCAATTAAACATTAGCATGGTAAAGTTTCATTTTTGCACCTTGACTTTTTCCACACACATTAACAATGCATTTTGATTTTTAGAGATTCAATATCAAAGTTAGTATTGCTTGGAACATCTGGAGCTCTTATAACAAAGAATTGTTAGAGAATCAATTTTTCATTGTTTGGAAGTTACAATACTTGCCAGAAAGATTCTTTTTTGTATTACTGATGCCCGAAATAAGTGTACATACAAATGTTGTGACTGTACAAGTGATCCATTTACTTATGCTAAAATATGAAGGTAGGTGAGATTTTATAATTTTTTTCTAAATATAATTATAAGAATTAAATTCTAATTACAAACTTCAGTTGTTTGTCTTTAAGAATGTTTATTTTGCTATCAATCACTTTACTAGAAATAAGGATATGAACTTTGAAATCGCAGGATTATAACTCAACTGAACTACTCATAATGACTTTTGTATACCTTTTAATAAATTTTATAATCAAAGTTAGTGTTAGTGTATAGTAATAAGTAAACTAAACAACACTCTGAATTACCTGTTTTCAGTAACAGTTTCTCAAAGTACAGATCTCTAACAACATTTAACATAATTTGAAATACTCATAAATCATACGTTTGAAATATATGTGTAATATAAGTACTTAATATAAGTAAGATGTTACATTTACACAATAAGAGGCAATGTTATTTGTAAGCATATTTCCTTCAAGTATGAAGCCCAAATATATCCGAATGATTACATCTAGTGTAAGAATGCTAGTTCTCATGTTCAAATGAGTAATTATTTATAGTACTAATGAAATAACATTTCAGATGGAATGTATAAACTGTCCAATTCACTTAAAATAACAAAAAACTAAAGTTCAGACCTGATTATTAAAATATTTATCAAGCCTAACTTAAATTTGTTGCATCTACTACATCTGAAGGCAACCCACTCCAAAGGCCAACCACCCTGTTAAAAGTAACTTGTCTTAATTAAAGATGACTTTCCCTTCTAAAATTCATATCGTTATTAACTATAACTTCAAAGTTACAATTTATACAAATGTCATTCATCAGGTGATCTTATCTACAAAAGGATATGGACTTCTTGGAAAGGGTTTAGAGGAGGGTTACTAGGATATATCTGGGGATACAAGGATTGTCATACGGGGATTGGTTTAAGATTAAATTATTTTTTCTTGAGAAAAGAAGGGCAAGAGGTGATCTTTTGAAGTTTAAAATATTATTCAGAAGATCGATAGGATAAACACTTATGATGTTTTGTTATATAACATATCAAGATAATAAGAGGACAGGACACAAGTATAATAAGATTGGAAAAAGATGGGCTAGGCTCCAGCTAAGACAGCTATATTTTTCCATCAGGATGACTGACGTTTGGAACAACTTGCTATGAGAAGTAATGGAACTTGAAAGTCAGCACAAGTTAAAACAATTTACAGGATTTTCAAATGAAATTGACAATTTCCTGAAAAATACAATAGTGACTTGTATTAATGTAGCTAGTGATAATATGATTAATATTTATTAATATTAATACCAATTTAAGGCACAAATCAGCACAAAACAAGACCTACAAATTCAGAATCTACTACAGTCTACAGTACAAACCAAAGTTGTAATCAAAAAGTACATTTGGTGATGTAGTAGTAGTAGTAGTACTACTACTACTAGGCCTACTATTACTCTAATAATAATAATAATAATAATAACAAATTGTAATTATTATTATTAACATATTAATTACGAAGTTAAATTTGCTTATTTACTCTACTGCAAAGTGCACTAGTTATTTTCTAGCCCTAAAATAATAAAAAACTAAATTAAGAAACGTTATACTCAACCTTATAACTTATAAGTTAAATCTATTAATAATACTATTATAAACTTAAGTATCACTATTAATTAGTATAAGCAACATAAAATTAAAATAAAGAAACAGGGTATGTAGATAACGAAAAACACACTCACAGTCACACAGTGCAATTTGTACAATGTTATGTTCTTATGTAATAATAACTACTAATAATATTATCATTAAAAACTGGTTGCTTTCAATGCCCTGCTGGAGAGCTAATATCACTAAGTCACTGTTAACTTACATTTATAACTAACAAAATAACAATGACACAACTACTAACACTAATACTATTACATTAAAATTTAACTTAAATTAGTATTATTATTGTTTTAGATCCAAGTTCTAATTCTGTCTTCTAAATTTGAATTAAGTCTCAGATAATATCTAAAATGATAAGTTAAGGCTTTAACCGTTTAAAAATAATATTAATTTCAAATAACTAGAGGAATACATTTCTAATTATATAAATAACTACTTATTTTTAACAGCGTATAAAATACATGTTTTCTTCCAATACTAAGTGAATGTATATTATAACTTACATGTATACAAATTTTACTTCGCTTATTCAACGACTTCCCTAGCTCTAACGTGAAATGCCGTCAACAATATCTATCACAACTATGATATGATTTGCTCGAGCATCCACCGGTGCAATTCAAATCAAGACTCAAAAAAAAGCAGCACTGACTTATCAAATAGCACTTTTATGGCTTACCCTCTAAAATGGCGATTTGCACGGTTTAATTGAAATATAGAATGTGTCAAGTTGGAAGGCCAGAAAGTTCACTCTTGTGGATGTGTTTTTTAATTGAACAGGAGTGGGGATAGGATGATTCTATTCATTGACCCAGTCAATCATCGAAACCACTCCTACAAATAATTTATTGTGTGTTAAAGTTAGCTATTACAAAATAAGAGCTCAGAATAAAAGAAGTCCCAAAAATTGCAACCAACGACTCTGAAAAAAATCAAAGCGACTATTAAAAAACAAGTCTAATTTAGCTTATTATAAGCGAACTTCATAACATTAGCACCCACTGTATTGTTGGTTTTGTGTTTAAAGTGCAAATCCAGGAGGATTTATGCCCACCAAGTGATTAACACCACTGAGACTCAAGAATGAGAAAACCTATTGTTATCATGTTATAACAAAGAAGAAACAAACTTTTATTACAGACATTCAAGTAGGAAGGAAATCCTGAGAATGAGAAGTACAAAATTACTTTTTGTTTTGATATTACATGAAGAGGTGCATAGTTCTAGCCAATAAATAGTTAATGAAAAAGACGATTTACAACGGTACACATATAGTTTCTTTTAATGAGGTTAAGCGTGCAGTAGTGTTTGCACAGAAGTAATGATTATGTGAAAAAAAAATCTCTAGAGTGCACTTGCAAAAATACAAATATGAGAATCAACCAGCCTAATTTGCATAATTGAAGTGCTGTTTACGCTGCATATTCCGAGCCTTAACCTGGTCGTAACGTGCTATGTAGACAAACTGTTGTAACGTATTGTTATGTATCTGCTTGTTTGATAATTTCCCGTAAAAATTCTCTACGAGAAACTTCAACGATACAAGTCCTTTCTTAATTAAAACTAGTTTATTCTTTCTCGATACAACTTTGCAATACAAAGATGTTCTTCAGTCACTTTAAAGTTAACTACTTTTAGAAACACATGCTATAATTCACAACGATTCACGCACTTTACTTAAGGTGCC